TAATCGCATTCGAACCACAGTCCGCAGAAAAAGTCAACAATGTTAGACGCGTGGAGGTACCAGGCGTCAAGGCCTAGTTCGTTAGTATTACAAGGCAAACGCGGAGTTGCGAAAGAGCGCGACACTTCCACGATAGCGCCGCGGCGGCCCTTATCAGATTATTGGAGCCTAGTGACTGCGTTAACCTTCGCGGAAGGGGACCAATGCGGAGATGACGGGGGAGGGCGGGAACAGGGATACGATACTTCGCGCGCGACAACGCCTCATCCGAACGGCTGCAATAAATGCGTGACTCAAGAATATGCATACGTGACGCGAGCTGTGGGTAAAGAGCGAGAGCGCTGATAAAACTCCCCCCTCCCTCCCGGATCTCGAACTCGAAATCGTTCATTGAAAATGGGTCAATGACATCGAACCAATTACGCAATGCGCAGTACGCAACGCTCCGCATGCATTTACACGCTTCGGTAACGGATGTGCGCGATGCGCAATCGAATACTCATGACCGTGAATTAGACGAACCGACCGGAATTAGAAGCTTTGTTGTTCGGTGCTTGGTATTATTCGCACGTCTCCCGAGCTATGTCGCGCGCACGCGTTTCTCGGAAAATATTATCTTTCGTAATACCAACGTAATCGGATCGGCGAGTGTTTATCGGTAATTATATTTTGCATTCGGAAGGCGATTATTTTGGTCAAGATAATATCTTGATTGAACAAAAGAATATTTCGTTAATGTGTTTAAATGTTAATTGTTAAGAAACGGTTTTATTCTCCGAATGAGTCGCTGATTGGTCGAATTAGAATACGTTCTCATTCTTCTTCCTTTCTCATAGATAACGATTTCATTCCCACGAGATCAGGAGGATCGCCGAGTGGAATTTTCGTAAAGCGAGAATTGCGCGCACGTCGGGGCGCAACATCGGCGATCCAAATCTCCGAATCGCAAGAGAGGCTGAGAGAAGTCGCGCGCGATTAACATTCACGCGAACAAAGAAGTGCGCATCTATTTTCCGCATCCCAACTCTTCCTACGCTCGACGCGCGTGCGTGTCACATGCTATCGCACACAAGTACACGCAGATACACACACACACACACACACACACACACACACACACACGCATGCACGCACGTGCGCATTCGCCGATTTATCACGAGGGCAACCTCGAGATTCACGGTCGTGAATCTCTCCACGTGTCGTTTCTTGCGCGTATCGCGATGCGTGTGGTTGCGCTCTTCCCTCCCTCCCTCGCGGATCCCTCGACAGTCCACCATATCTTTTTTTTCTCTCTCGGCACCGCTTTTCGCCGTGGTGTGCACCGAACTTGGAGCTCGTGCGAAGAAGACGACCTTGGTCCCACGCGGCCATTGGCCGGGCCTAGAAGAAGCTCGAACTACGATTGGCCTGTCAACTTTTCGTGCGGACGAAGCTGTAAAACGAGCCGAGCCGAGCCGAGCCGAGCCGATATGGCAAACACACATTTGCTCTAGCCACACTCTGCATCGTCGACCTTGACGGGGCATTGACCGTTGTTCCCTTCCATTGGCCGCCTTCTATCGTATTAGAGTTTTGTCTCCGCTCTAATCAAATCAGCGACCATTCTTATCTATTCGCAAAACTTGGATATCGCGCACCACGTATCTCTGTTCCGCGACGATCATGGGGATGACTCCGGCTTTTGCTCTGTAATTTTCCGATCCAACTGTAGTTTCGATTACGCGCGCGTTAGTCTTGAATATTTTTGAACGACACAAAAAGTTGCATCCATCGATGCCGAGAGAGTTTCCAATTTTATTCATGCGACCAGATATCTCCCTCTTCCACGATGTTATTACGTTCGTTGAGTTCAATTTGATCGGAGATTGGACCCTTTGCAGAACATTAAACTCGCATTGTCTGAAGCCTTTGATAAAAACCGCAATATTGTTTACGACGTATCGGTCGCTGACATCGCCACGCAATTGACATTGAGTTGTTTCGTAATTCTAAGCTTCACCCACGGTGTGTATTACACGCATTCGCGATGCACGTACACGAGGCTCCGAATTATTATTGCGTAGTAGGGGGAACGATGACCGTCGTAAGAGGCTTCGTCGAAAACCCTAACTCCCAAAGACTACCGGCTGGCCTTGGAATATGAATAGATTGCCCGCGAAGAGTGCATTGCACTGTTGCGTAACTACACGCGAGTTTTATTTGCAAGTTTCGTGACGGCAGTCACGCCGCTGGCAATTTCGTTTCTCGTTATTAAACCTTCACGTAATCCTGTCGAAATGACAATATTTGCAACAAATCTCTCAAATAATATACTTAGGCAATGTACAAATAATGTGGATGTGGAACGTTAGAAAACATAGCAATAGTTGTTAGATAACGCACAATCATGAGCGTATCCAAAGGGGAATTTGGGAGACTTTTATCTTCCTCGAAATTAAAAAAAAAGCTAAAATTATGATTTGTGAAACCTAATATTTCTCTTATTCAAAATTAGGAAAATATATTCTAAAATATCTAGAAAAGAAAATAAAATAAGAAAAAACTCCCCCTCTCCAAAAAAATCCTGGATACGCCTATGCGCCTCAATCACCTAATAAAATGTAACGCACGTAATACGAATAAGCGTGATAATTACGCAGTTTTCTTATCACTTTTGCATAAACGCCCTATTGCACAAGTGAGAAGACGGCGGTTTTCTTTTTTTTTTTTTTTTTTTTTTTTTTTTTTTTTTTTTTTTTTTCCATTGCGACGCCGTCGAGTCGCTATCGCTAATCCGTAATCGACAATCTTTGCTAACGATGGCATTGCCGCCCGCTCCCCAAATATAGTCCCTAACTATGAACAATATCTAAATAGGTACGCGCGATCGTGCCGAGAGTGTGTGTGCTCGTGCGTTATCTCTACTCGCTCATTCAGTAATAGCCGTACTCTCGCTTGCCCGGCGAGTCGATGACGGCGCTGCGGCGTGTCATAAACACGTCCTCGAGGCCTTTCCACGCGCGCGTGTTACGCAACGCCTCGCCGAAATTCTTTGCAACGTATCGCGCATTATTACACATGCTGCATGCGCCGCGATAACGGGAATAACAACGCATGTGTGCGCGTGAGAGGCATCTCTCGCGGGCCTGCTGCTGCGTGCGGCCCGTGCCGCATTACGAAAATTATTAATAGCCCCGGGAATTGTACGCCGATGAACTCTGCACATCTCATTATTTCCACAAGTGTTGTGCGCGAACGAACGGCAGGCCGTCCGGCTGTCGTTCTTCAAGCGTTCTCCAAGCGCATTTCGCGGACGTACAGGGAAGTCGTGTCATCTCCGCGATGTCGGCCGCCCTTGCGTCACGAGCGACTCCCGAGAAGTTTATTATGAAATTAAAAAATTCGTTATTCTTAATCTAAATGGAAAATCTTCTTCACGCTTAATTCGTTAAAAAAATTCGTTATTCTTAATCTAAATAGAAAATCTTCTTCACGCTTAATTCTTATACGTTTGTTGCGCGGATTTCACTTACTGCCGTCGACAAACAACGGAACAAAGTTGCGATCGTGCTTGCGAAACGTCTATACACTCGTATACGCGATTCGACTATTAGCCTTTGCATAATACGTAATGAGCTGAGCGTACGTTTGGTCCGAACACCTGTAACGATATGCACGATCTCATATTGATCAAGTTGTAAGGAGCGGGGTTTAATACAACAGCGATTAGAATGCAGAGAAGTATTCTCGATCAAAATTTGATTCCGAAGTACGATATTTGGTAGAGACACTGTCATTGTTATACACTGTCATTGTGAGACAAAGTTCACGATACATATATATTTCGACGGACAACCGCGGACTATATTACAGATAGTCGTTGAATCGTCTCTCCTCCGGATACGCAGCAAATCCAATATTCGTCGGATAAGAGGCTTGAAATTGGGCGCAACAGGGAGTATACGGAAATATGATCCCGCGCCGAGAGGAAGCTCAAAGAGTTGGATACACTTTGTGTACCGGGAGCCACTCGGCAAGACAGGTGCTTTGTGCCACCTGGTCGTGCCCTCGTCACCTTCCTCCTTTCTCTTCTCGCACTTGATTTCCTTATTCGGCGGGCACTGCCAATGAGGCTTCTTCCCACATTGGTCTAAACGCACGAAGCGCTTTCATGAATTGTTCCCGTTCGCCCGATTCGCATGGAAACTATCACGAAATAAGATACGAGAAGAAGTAGCGCGACTCGAATAACTCTAGATAATGAAAATATAACGTAGTTTATGCAGGCAAATAGCAAAGTGCTATTGTCTTCGAATTTAAGCTCTACAAACATCTGAAATAAAAAATTCAACGACGACTTCTTCCTTTAAAAGAAATTTTGTTCGGAATTTGATTTAAATTTTAACTACACGCAAAGGCTTAGATGGTCGGATAGGTTTTTTTTTTTTTTTCCTTTTTTATTGCTAGTCATTTCTGAATACATCAAGCGCTTTACGTGCAGCGGCCGCCCGTGTTGTGTTACACGCCCGCGTGCCAGCGAGCGCGCATTATGCTCGCGCGCGTGAATTACGAATTACGGAAGATCGTGTCCGAAGATGACCTACATACGCAACGAGCTGCGAGAAAGGGCATCGACGTCAGGCGTGCTAGCCTCGGTTCCTTTATGTCGCGTCGCGGAGAGGGAAGTGGTGGGCTGCTTGGAAAAAAAAAAGGGTTCGTCGGTCACCGGCTTCCTTTGCACGCTGAAATTCCCGCGCGCTCGCTTACATTGTAAGCCGTGAGAAAGAAAAGGCCCCCGAGCGTCTTGCGCGTGCACCAAAAGTTTCTCGACGTGCCAATTTCGCCGAACGACTTTGTTACGCGATGATTCTCGCGATAGCGTTCTAGTGAATCTCTTTTCGACGATATACTTTTGATTTACGTTAGGAATGACTCGTTACGACTCGTCGAGTATTTCTTTTCGGCGTACCTTCTTATTACCGCTTACATTTTAAAAAGATCTCATCCTATTTATGTTTCAGGAGTTACGTTCAAGGCACACAGGGGATAGGTCTCGCAGCATGCAGCAAGCACTTTCAGGAGCTCTTCGAAGGAATGCCGCCATCTCCCGCGGGACTGATCGTTATTCTCGATGGGACGAGTGCCCACAATATGGCGTCCCTCCTCGAATTCATGTACCGTGGAGAGGTACATGTGTCCCAGGAATCCCTCAGCTCCTTCCTCAAGGCAGCTGAATGCCTTCAAGTATGTGCCTGTCTCTTTTTCTGTATTTAATGACCTTAAATAATGTTTCCCGAATAATTATACATGTGGCGCCTGAACCTCCTAAATTCGCGCTCGCCTGAAGTTTCTACATGTCATTTGTGTCGTGGAAGCTCGAGCGAAGTTAAATCATTTGTCAAACTCTCCTCGAAGACACGTTGTCGCCTCTGTAAATTCCGTGCTTTAATTCAGTATATTCGAGCATTTACTGTAAAATGGCACGGTTTTACATATTTAATTGAAATGTACATGTAGCGGCAGGTGCTGCTTATATCAACTGCACGAAATTCAGTTCATTAACACAATCCACACGTTGACATTCACGTGAACATTCACTCAAATGCGATATATATTTTCTTAATCCCCTTTTACTTTAATATTTATTTTAGTATATAATATTTTTAGTAGATATATAATATTTTTAGTAGATATTTTTATACCGTTTCTCAGTACATTTTTCTAAAATATGATTGTCTTCCAAATCCAGGTTAAGGGTCTGTCGATCATCGAGCATGAGAAGCTGGCGGTGGCGCAGAGGCACGCCGCGGAGGGCAGCAACACTTCCGCGGATATAGAGAGTAACGGCGGAGGCGGTGGTGGCAGCGTCGGGGGTAGCGTCGGCAGCGGTAGCATCAGTGGTACCATCGGCAACGGGGGCGGCGGTGGCGGCGTCGGTGATATGAGCAACATGAACGAGGCTGGCGAAGCCACCATGGTCAGGAACATCATGAAGAGGACCCCCACACCGGCGCCATCGCCCGCTCCGGCGTACACCGTGCCCAGCGTGTACTCCACCTCTCACTATTACGAGAGCCCACCGAAGAGGCTGATGAGGTAAGAGTCTGTGTTGCCGAGGCGCGTAGGATTTTTACGGGAAACGCGACGGTCATGGCCTTCTTACATTCTAACGGCGATGACGTATGTGACAAAGCGGAGCGATAAACTATTTGCGATGAAGAAATGCTTGTTTTGCCGAGGCGACTTTTTTACGACTTTCGGACTTCGATCTCGGCTTGTCGGAGTATTTCAATTTCAACCGAAATTAATTTCTCGCCGAGTAAAGCAATTATTCGATGTTACGCAAATCAAAAGCATAATTATCTTTATACGTTTTTATACGTTCTTTCGTTCGCCTCGCGTCGACGCCGCATCGATTTCCGGATTGATTTGATTTTCTCCATCCTTATCGTATTATGTCTGTTTACCAAATATTCGCGCCGAGTTACGTATTTCTCGCCGATTCACTCGCGTGAAGATTTCGTGAGTTGCGATTGCGTATTTTTAGATCGCCGAGCGATGTCGATTCGCTGGGCAGAGCGAGCGTGTTGCGCGACGGCACTGCCTTTCGGCCGGCGTCCGCCCCGCATCCGCTTCTGTTGGAGAACCACTTCTACCAACCGTTCATCCATCCCTCCGAAACTTCTTTGCATCCCCACACTGCGCCGCACACGCCCACGGAACTGGAACAGCAGCTGGAACGAGCGCGGTCCGAGGAGCGCAGCAATTGTGATCTCAAGGAAAACGTTGCCGAAGGTGAGAGAGGCCTACTTTTGATAAAACCGATCGTAAAATCAGTCGAGAAATTCCACCTCGATCGGTCCTTCACAGATCTTGATCACGTGTTCGCAGATCTTCGAATAAAGCAGGAGCCAGTGGCGTTGACCGATCGAGAGAGGGCGGAGAAGTTGGCGGAGAAATTGTCAAAGCGGGAAGACGAGGTTTATCCCGGACGGGGGGGATTTGACGCGGGCTCGTACGGATCGAACTCGGATCATCTGCACGGTGCACAGCTGGGTTCGTCGATGGTGCCGATGCCGCCGATTCCCGATCCCGTCGCACCCGCTATGTGGAACGCGAAGATCAACAAGGCCAGCACTGTCTCTACCGTCGACGGCGGTGAGTGCCATCCATTATTTTTATATCAAAATGTCGCCGCCATTTACCGCGGACGGTTGTGATTTAAATTCGGTGGAGATCAAAATGACAG